AGATGCCGGGGAAGTCCTGGCTGTGGCTGACTGGGACCATTAGGGCCTCTAAGTGCTCTCAGGACCCTGACAGCAGCCTCTTCTCTCAGCCTACCCTCTCTGTCCTCACACCTTAGAGAGGTGTGGGCTCAGGAGGGAGTTGCTGTAGAGTGATTTAATCGCTGTGGGGTCTCGGGGGACTATTTAAGGGAGCAGAGACCTAAGGCAAGTCACTGGGCAGAGGGTATGTCGTGAGAGACTTGGGGATGGGGATAGTCAGGCTGCCCATGAGGGGCCCCAGCGGTCAGAAGGGCTTGAGATTAAAGGGGAGATGTTCAAACCACCCCGGGAAGATCCCCAGAGGCTGGGTAGTACTGGGGGGATTCACTCAGGAGCCTGGGGTTGAGTAATGGTCAGATGTAGCTCAGTGATTGCTTGGCAGTGATGAGACAGGTTTGAGGGCGAGCAGGTGGCTGGCACGTTGTGGACCCGTATCCCGTGCAGGGTCACGGGCTGTGTGGGGTGCGGCGGGTTGGCAGCAGTGACGGCACGTAGCCAGCTGCTCTCTCAAAACTGCTGACTGGTGGTGTGAAAGAGGAGAAGCACCAAGGTAAAACAGGAGAAGGTGGTAACAGTCTAGTACTGGAGGCAGGATCCTTATTCCCCAAATTGTCTTTTTGGTCCAGGACAGGTGCCTGGCTGACTGCAGCTAGCTGGGGGAATTCTGTGTGGTTCCCTCTTGCCAGCTCTCCTGTGCCTTCTAGTCAGGTTGCAGCTGCTGCAGAGACACAGAGAGGAGGCTTTCTCCTCCTGCATAGGGAAAGCTTGTTTCTTCCTAGGAGCATCGCTAGTACGTGCTGGGAGGAGGATTCCCCAAACAGGCAGGCAGGGATGGCAGCTTGGGATGTTGAACGGGGAGCTGTAAATCAGCAAGCTGCTAATTAAGACCACAGGAGGCTGGTGAGTTACTAAAGACCTGTATTACTCTTTTCAGAGCTCTGGGCCATTAACAAGATCCCTGGGACCTACTCCGAGCACGTGGCTCTCCAGGGACGTCCCTTGCGAGCACTCTATTTTGGACATGTTCTCTGAGTTGAAATTCCCTGTGCCCTGGGGCCACGTGGCAGCCAAGGCCTGGGGACCCTCGGAGGGACACCCTGTGCTGTGCTTGCATGGCTGGCTGGACAACGCCAACACCTTTGACAAGCTCATTCCACTGCTCCCCAGAGGTAGGTCTGGCTCATCAGGATGGTTCTTGTCGTGTTGCAGGGCTGCAGGGCTGATACTCTCTCCCTTTCAGGTTGTTATTATGTGGCAATGGATTTTTCTGGCCATGGCTTGTCATCCCACCGACCTGCAGGCTCTCCCTACTATTTTCTGGATTACGTGAGCGATGTGCGCCGGGTGGCAGCAGGTGGGTAGTTGAAGGGACCCTCGAGGGGATGTCTGTGCAGCGGGTGCTATATGGCTCCTGCTCCTTAGAACAAGCAGGCAGCATTTACTGCCAGGAGAGAGGTCAGTTCCCTCTGCTTCTCCTCAGCCTCATGTTAGCCGGTGCTTTGTGACCACAGACGGAATAAGCATCCCTCTTCCTCACTATTTTGTGAGAGGAAGAAACAGTAAGCCCTGGGAAGCAAGCATTTCTATACTTCAAAAGCAGTAGTGGTGAAGTGATGGATGCAACTAAATAGTTTTGCCAGGCTGACTTTTTGTAAGCAGCCAGTGACCTCTAACCAGTGTTAGGTGTAAGCTGGAGACTCTTCTGGTTCTCCCCGATGGCAGCTTGATGCTTGCTTTAGTATCATACAGAGAAATCCGAAAGCCAGGGTGTCTTGGGCTCCTAATAACTACTGATCTTGCCGCCTGCCTGTGTGCTGATCTTGCGGGCAGTTGTGGCGTGTGCAGTTTTGCATCCCTCGTTCAGTATACAAAGAGCCTCTAGAAGTTCTTTGACGTGCCAGAGGGTAAAACACATCTTTCAGTGCGGTGTATTTCAGATGGGCAGCACTGATGAAGCAGTATTTTCCCATAAGCTTCCCGGAGTGCCCTAAAAATGGACTGAAGAGCCTGCTAAATGGTGCAGAGAGCTCTCACTGGGAATAATCATACTTTCCTGAAAGCGGCAGACCTGGCTCTGTGTCCTCACGGCTCTTGCGGAATGCCCTGCAGCAGGATGCACTGTCAAGGTCTCTCTCTTCCGGCAGATGCTGCCCAGTTGGGTTCCTTTGCTTCTTCCCAGTCTTGTGTCTGGCAATGAATGGGAATTTGCTGTAGTTTGCTGTACAGAGAGAGCTTGAGAGCTCCGTGACTTAACTACCAAGGAAATGAGGTGGTGGATGCTCCTTTTCTTTAAAACTGGCCTACTTAGCCACCTCGTTTCTGGATTAGGAAGCAAATTAAGCAGTGCAAAAGCCCTCTCGGGAGAAGAGGCCCGTGTTGGTAGAGAAGCAGCAAGATGCCGCTGCTCTGGTTTCTAATGCAGCACTGTCTGTTTTTGTCTGTTGCCACTTAGCCTTGCAGTGGAGACGGTTCACCCTGATGGGTCACAGTATGGGTAAGTGGCTCTTGTCCTTGTAAGCTGTGAGTTTCATGGAAACAGAAGTAGATAATTAACTTACAAGACATGCTGCTAGGAGCTGGGTTGGAATATTTATTGTGTCAAGTACCAGATTCCTGCTTGAATGATTAAAAAAATCTGTGCCCCTGTTTGAAATCACAGAATGGTTTGGTTGGAAGGGACCTTAAAGCCCATCCAGTTCCAACCCCA